GTCATGTGATTGGTTATGTGGGCGGGGCTTACCTGCTCCCCCTCAAATATTTTATTCAAGTTGGCACCCCTGCGAGTGAAGATGCCGAACTGAGCCACCACACAACGGTTTCCATTTCCATATTTTCTTTTTAAAAGGGGGCAAATCAAGTTTTTGTTTTTTTATGGGTGATGTAATCAAGCTTTGAAGTGGGGTGTTATGTACTGAGCGGAATCTTAGAACAATAGGATCCAGAATGCAGCAGTCTGATTGGTCCTCAGGAGTCACCCAATCCAGCTCCAGGTAGAAGTGAATCAGCAACCTGGTTGGCCTGCAGGAGCAGCCAATCAGGCTCCTGGATGAAGTGAATCAGCAACCTGATTGGCCTGCAGGAGCAGCCAATCAGGCTCCTGGATGAAGTGAATCAGCAACCTGATTGGCCTACAGGAGCAGCCCGGAATTAGCCAATCACACGGGGCCCATTGTGTAAATAATGTATATATAGCTAGACGTTTGGGGGAAAGTTTCATTCATTGCTACTATGAGCTGAATCAGCAGCATGAAATTCACACTCAACTCGAAGTATATTTCATGGGGGAATCAAAATTGCAAAGGAACGCATTGCAAATAGAGCCCTCGAAATTATTAAGGCAGGGTTGGACACTTGTGGCTTTGCGGATATTGTTGGACTCAAACTCCCCCACTCCACCCCCAGCCAGTATGGCCAATTGTAAGGCAAGGAATGTTCAGGGTGATGAATTAACTTTTCATTGTCAAAGGTATACTTGCATGTTAGGAAAAGGTATGTCCCACATCTCTCAGCAACTTCTAGGTGTGCATCCGATGAGGCAGTTGCAGCAACAGAGACCCCCAACCCCAGCTTATGGATCTCCCCCCCCACACACACAAACACAATTTGCGCTCAAATAAGCAGAGACTAAGCCTGCATGCAACTTCTGTTCCTCCCTCTTCAATCCTCTCCTGGTCCTGGGAGACAGTGGAGCAGGACAGGTAGGGGCAAGAAGATGAACTTCTGCTTTGGGGGGGACAGGGGGCAGGCAGGTGTGGAGGACTCCCTGGTCCGGAATGGAGTAACTGTGCCCCTGAAGGACCAGGTGCGCAGCCTGGGAGTCATTTTGGACTCATTGCTGTCCATGAAGGCGCAGGTCAATTCTGTGTCCAGGGCAGCTGTTTACCAGCTCCATCTGGTACGCAGGCTGAGACCCTCCCTGCCGCACACTGTCTCGCCAGAGTGATGCATGCTCTAGTTATCTCTCGCTTGGACTACTGCAATGCACTCTACATGGGGCTACATTTGAAGGTGACTCAGAAACTGCAATTCATCCAGAATGCAGCAGCTAGACTGGGGACTGGGAGAGGCCACCGAGACCACATAACACCGGTCTTGAAAGACCTACATTGGCTCCCAGTACATTTCCAAGCACAATTCAAAGTAACATGTTTGCTTGCCTGCGGTAAGAAGCGAGAGTTTATTCTGCGGTTATTATGAGAAGTAGAGAGGGATCGGAGTGTTTCCTTGCTGAAAAGGTGCATTGTGAACCTATCATTCAGAAACCTTTCTGGAATGTTTGTCATGCCTTTTTACAGGTTTGCGAAAGGAAGCCTATTGTGCAGTAAATATTTTGCAAAGCTCAAAGCTCATTGACTTTGACAGTAAAGTTATGCGCGTTTTTCTCAGTCCCACTCTCCCTACGTGCTTGCCGATGATCGCATTGTAGTGTGCACTGACTCTGTTCCTAATGCTGTTTTTTTTGTACTGCTGTTGTAATACAATAGTAAAACAGATTTTTTGAGAAAACAAGTTCCACGCTCATTTTTAACTGCTTAGCTACAGAATAAAGCGTTTCATTTGCTTTGAACCTTTCGCTTTCCCCTTGTTCACTGTCCCTTTTGCATCCCTTTTTTGCTTTTGAAACCAAAAATATGCCACTCATTTAATTCTTGCAGTTCATATTAAATTCTCTGCCACTTGACCTTTACATAACTCATTATGTAAGTTAGCATACTCTCTCTGCATGGGGGAGAAGGTCACTGACTTCCCCTTCCGCTGGCCTGGCCTTCACATCTCCAGCTCACATCTTTCCATGGGTGTGGGGAGGTCGAGCATCATGCGCACATATCCATGCCCCACTTACAAATGTGGCCGCCCCACCTAACAAGGAAGGCTGGCGACAGGGCTGGTTAGAGTACAAATCTCAGCGTGTAGTTAAGCTATAGGATTTTCTGACAGTGAGAGCTGTTTGACAGTGGAATGTTGCATGGCGAGTTCCCGGCCCCCCCAGTGGAAATAATGACACACGACACAATTATTAAGGTTAATGAGCTAAATAAGGCCACAACTTTATTGGTTACAGGTGATGAGCGGTATTGGCTTAGGCATTGGTCCTAACTGACTATATCCAACTTCAGCCCGTCCGCTTGAAGTCTGGGAAGGGTTAACCACCAGTAGGGGGAGTCCTGCTGATGCACATCAACTAGGAACTCCCCCAGGGTCACCGATAGGGGGCGTGCCTTAGACCCTCACCTCCCCAGGCTTCGGACAGGGCCACGCCCCCCAGAATCCTTTATTGGACTACCCTTCAATATGTGGGGCAGGTGATGGCGCTTCCTCCCCTCTTCCATCTACAGAACAATACCAATGCCTAACCGCCAATACCCAAAAAGTTGTGACAATTTGCTACGAGGTAGGTGGAAACCAAGTGGCTGGTGACAATTTGCCAAGTGGAAAAATGCCTACCAGGCCCCTCAACGGCGACCAACCAAGGTCCATAGCAAGGTCAAGGAACGAAAACCTTATAGGGCGGGAGGTTGGGAAACAGGAACAGCTGGGAGGCGGCCAAGAGGGAGATCCCTGGCTATGTCCTGCCTTAAATAGGGCAGGCCACGCCCCCTGAGCCAGCCGATTGGCCAGCCAGGGAGTGATGTGGCCGGGAATCCCCCCCAATCACGCGGGGGCTGGGCTCCAGCCTCTGAGCGCATCGAGGGGACGTGAAGCCCGCAACCCCACCTCCTCCGTAGGGCAGAAGTGGCTTTCTCCCCTGGGAGGTTGTGGTCTGTCTTTTCTTGGAGGTTTCTAAGGGGAGGTTGAATGGCCATCTGTCAAGGATACTTCCGCTGAGATTTCTGCATTGCAGGGGGTTGGACTGGATGACTCCAGGGTCCCTTCCAACTCTACAGTTCTATGATTCTGTGATTCACCTCCATGCTCTAACACCAACATAAGGACAGCTGATCAGAGAGCAGGAATAATCAGATTTCACTTGCAAAAAAACACAAACCGGATACGCATTGGAAACATTATTCCGTGACCTCAGAACAAGGTTCCCTTGGTTCTGAATAGATGCAATTCGTCCGAACCGTTTTCCGCATCTGCTTGACACTGCTGCTTTCCAAACAGCTTGTATGCTCCCTGACACCTCTAGGCTACAACCGGCAGTTGAGTCAGGACATAAACCCAGAATTCATTTCTCTACCCCAGTTGCACCTTGAAGTACAGCGGATCAGACAGTGCGTCTTACAAGATTCTTCCTTCTGTCTCTCAAGAATTCAGTTCTTCTGCATCTGAAATTCAGGTGTTGTAAAAGGTACACCGTAGAGTACGGCTAGAGGATGGCTTATTTGATTGTGTTGGACTGCTGTTTCCAGATATGGGAGATTATTGTGGGATGGGAGCCCTTCAAGAAGGCAAGTTATTTTTCAGTGTCCACACAATGTTGTTGGCACTAATATGTCAGCCCATATTTCTTCCCCTTTGACTCTAGATGCACCATTTCCAGGGGAAATTGAATAAGTTAAAAACACACACATAAAACCACCAGGCATCTGAAAGCTAGACTTTAGCAAATCTTTATTTTCTATTTGATGCCTGAAAGTGTAAGTGGGTGTTATATTTATGATGACAGAGCTATACATAGGACAATCCTTGGATTTTGTTCTTCCTTTCCTCATTATGTCATTTGGGAATTATCAAACATATATGCAGGAAAGTACATTTTGATATATACTGTATTTTTCACTCTATAAGACGCACCAGACCACAAGACGCACCTAGTTTTTGGAGGAGGAAAACAAGAAAAAAAATATTCTGAATCTCAGAAGCCAGAACAGCAAGAGGGATCACTGCGCAGTGAAAGCAGCAATCCCTCTTGCTGTTCTGGCTTCTGGGATAGCTGCGCAGCCTGCATTCGCTCCATAAGACGCACGCACATTTCCCCTTACTTTTTAGGAGGGAAAAAGTGAGTCTTATAGAGCAAAAAATACAGTAATTTTTTTTTAAGCCAACACACACAGCAAAGAACCTGTTGCTGTCTATCTGCTTGCAATCTCTCAATGACCTGTTTGCAAATTAAGCCCCCAAGTAGACTCTCAGACACCCCCTTTTATTATTTGGTCCTCCCTGTGATCTCAAATGGGACGCAGGTGGCGCTGTGGGTTAAACCACAGAGCCTAGGACTTGCTGATCAGAAGGTCGGCGGTTCGAATCCCCACGACGGGGTGAGCTCCCGTTGCTCAGTCCCTGCTCCTGCCCACCTAGCAGTTCGAAAGCACTTCAAAAGTGCAAGTAGATAAATAGGTACTGCTCTGGGGGGGAAGGTAAACGGCGTTTCCATGCGCTACTCTGGTTCGCCAGAAGCGGCTTAGTCATGCTGGCTACATCACCCAGAAGCTGTACGCCGGCTCCCTCGGCCAGTAAAGCGAGATGAGCGCTGCAACCCCAGAGTCGGCCACGACTGGACCTAACGGTCGTGGGTCCCTTTATGATCTCAAATAGGGCATGGCACAAACACCCCACACTATAATTTCATGGAACCATACGATCATTTTCTAAACTGCTCAGTAATGCCGTCATATTATCTGCAGTGCCAAGAATGCCCACCATCATTCCTTGCAAGAGGCAAACCCTTTTCAGGCATCTCCTTGGCACAAACATAAACACACTGTGACCTCATTTCTTAAAGGAGCCCATCCCAACATTGGCCAAAAGAAACACCCTCTGAACAGCCGGCATAGCTCAATCGGTAGAGCTTGAGACTCAACCTCAGGGTTGTGAGTTTGAGCCCCATGATGGGCTAAAGGATTCCTGCATTGCAGGGGGTTGGACTAGATGACCCTCGGGCTCCAGATGCGGGGATGACCTCGTTGCCTTCAGCTGGGCCATCACTTACAGCTGCTCCACTACTGGCTGGGTCAGGGGAGGCTGAGGCGGTCCCTGGGTCTAGTAACCCACCGACGTCTCCCGAGCTGCAGAGACTCAGGTCTGAGAGAAGGAGAGACCTGAGTACTCGCAGGAGGAGTACTCGCCTTCGGGAAAGACAGGGAGGTGAGTCACCGGGGGATCAGGACCGGCCGTTACCCCGACAAAGATAAAAGGCTGTCGGACCTTGCCCCAGGTTGCGGGAGCAATATTGCTGTGTGCTAGATCCTGCCTGAGATCCTGTACCTGTCCTTGCCTGGTTTCCTGCCTCATGTCCTGCCTTGGTCCTGTCGGACTGACTCCCAGCGGAACCTTCGGATTCTGGACCGGTCCTGGACCACGTTTCATGGATTACCCCCAGGTGCAGCACAGATTCTACGATTCCAAGCTCCAAACCATTGCCATTTTCTTTTCCGCCCGCAGATTGCTCCCCGTGCTTCCTGCGTGAGCAGATTTTTTCTCTCTCAGAAGGCTTTAGCAGCTGGGAGGGAGGCCTCCCACCCCCCTTGACTCATCAGAGCATGGCCGAGCATGAAAAGTGGGGCATTTTAAAAACAGCGTGCAGAAATCAGATGCGCTGCACATGACAACACCTAGCAAAGAGGTCCCTAGGCAGCAGGATGCAGAGTAATGTGTTGTGCATACAACATGGGGTAAGCATATGTCAGCTATGCGCTATCCAGTAGCTACGAAAAGTGCCAGGATTAGACCGTTGTTGGCAGCAGTCATGTGAAGCAGCGCAGGACATTATGTTTCGCACAGAATTTCACCACCGGGGGAAAATACCCATGGATGCCAACGTTGCGTGAGGGGAGCCTGGACAGCAATGTGGGGGCAAATGGGTACATGAGAGTCTAATCAGGCTAGGTCATGGATAGGCAAACTAAGGCCTGGGGGCCGGATCCGGCCCAATCACCTTCTCAATCCGGCCCGCGGACGGTCCGGGAATCAGCATGTTTTTACATGAGTAGAATGTGTCCTTTTATTTAAAATGCATCTCTGGGTTATTTGTGGGGCATAGGAATTCGTTCGTTTATTTATTTATTTATTTAAAATATAGTCTGGCCCCCTACAAGGTCTGAGGGACAGTGGACCAGCCCCCTGCTGAAAAAGTTTGCTGGCCCCTGGGCTAGGTGATGGAAGTGTGGGGAGAAGCTTTCTGCAAGTGATTGATTTTGATCTCAGACAAGAGCATCCTGCCCATCAACTCTATCATTCTGCGGTCATGTCTTACCTCTCTAGGAAGATGGGGAGCTTAGCAGCTGGCCTTGCAACAGTGGAACTCACAGTTTGCATTGCAGAAGGCTCCAGGTTCAAACTCTGAGAGCATCTCCAGGCAGGTCTGGGAATGTCCCCCAACTGAAACCTTGGAGAATCTACTGGCAGTCAGGGTAGACAACACTGGCTATATACATACATACTTTTTATACCTTGGTTTTTGAACACCTTGGTACTCGTACGTTTTGGCTCCCGAATGCCTGGAAGTAAATGTTCTGGTTTTCGAACACTTTTCGGAAGCCAAACATCCGACGCAGATTCTGATTGAGTACAGGAAGCTCCTGCAGCCAATCGGAAGCCGCGCCTTGGTTTTTGAACAGTTTCGTGAGTCGAATGGACTCCTGGAATGGATTAAGTGTGAGAACCAAGGTAGACGAAAGAAGAATGGCAGAAAAAATTAATGGACTATGCAGAACTGGACAAAATGACAGGAAGGATTCGAAACCTGCAGGAACAGAGATTTACGGAAGATTGGAAGAAGTATATGAACTATTTGTAACCAACAAATTACGCTAGTAGGATTACAAGAAGTTTTGTAAGGAGAAATATATGAAACGTTACAAACTAGATAAAGAATAGAGATATCGGTTGTGAGTTTTAAATGTAATAGGGAAAGTAAGAAATGTATACTAAGAGATTAGATTGGAAAATTTTCAGACAGGATTGATGGAAGTCAAAAAATTGTATAAGATGTAAAAGTATGTTTAATTACTGTTGAAAATGGTATGTTAATATATTAGTTTGAGAACCAAGGTACGACTGTATTAGAAATGGTTGAAAATGCTATACATTATTGTTAAGGATTTTTTGTAAGCTACACACAGAGTTGCTAAGTTTCTGATTCATCTCTCCGTATTCCTTGTCCGTTTTAAAAACTAGCAGAGGCACACAACTTTTAAAAGTAAAGACACTTGGAGAGAGAGATAGCAAACTGAGTGGACAAGTATAATAATAATAATAATAATAACAACAACAACAATAATAATAATATACTATTTATATGCCGCCCATCTGACTGGGTTGCCCAAGCCACTCTGGGAAGCTTCCAACATATTAAGACATCCCAAAAGTATCGTCCCAACCTTCCTCTGCCCTCTGAATGATAACACTGTGTACGTCACACTCAGAACGTTACTTTTCAATCTTGCGTCTAAATCAGACTTGGAATAGAAGATGCAATTGTACCAGCTCTGTTTACGCAGATTTGGGGAGATGGGTCTCCAGCCTGGGGCAAACTCATCGAATGGAATTAATGTTGTGTCTCCTAACCTGGAAAGGCAATCAGCACCGTAACGGATGGGATTCTTTTCTGAAATTGAACGGCGAGGGAGACAGTGATTGGTACAAATGCTCTTTCACGGAAAGGTCATTGAGAATTGTTAATGCCATTCCGGTCCAACTATACAACGTCAGTGAGGCTTCGTTTTTAATCTTTCCGCTGCTCCTGCGCCTTGCCAACACTCTCGTTGTTTGCCTGGACGAATAAAGAGCTGGCGAGGAAGGCTGGCTTGTCCTTGTCATCGCTGGCTGCTAAAGGGACTGCTAAATCCATCCATCTTTTAATGAGGGTGAAAGAGGAGAGCGCAAAATATGGTTTGAAGCTCAACATAAAAAAAAAAAAGGAAGATCATGGCCACTGGTCCCATCACCTCCTGGCAAACAGAAGGGGAAGAAATGGAGGCAGTGAGAGATTTTACTTTCTTGGGCTCCATGATCACTGCAGATGGTGACAGTAGCCACGAAATTAAAAGACGCCTGCTTCTTGGGAGAAAAGCAATGACAAACCTAGACAGCATCTTAAAAAGCAAAGACATCACCTTGCCAACAAAGGTCCGTATAGTTAAAGCTATGGTTTTCCCAGTAGTGATGTATGGAAGTGAGAGCTGGACCATAAAGAAGGCTGATCGCCAAAGAATTGACGCTTTTGAATTATGGTGCTGGAGGAGACTCTTGAGAGTCCCACGGACTGCAAGAAGATCAAACCTCTCCATTCTGAAGGAAATCAGCCCTGGGTGCTCACTGGAAAGACAGATCCTGAAGCTGAGGCTCCAAGACTTTGGCCACCTCAGGAGAAGAGAAGACTCCCTGGAAAAGACCCGGATGTTGGGAAAGATGGAGGGCACAAGGAGAAGGGGACGACAGAGGACGAGATGGTGGGACAGTGTTCTTGAAGCTACTAGCATGAGTTTGACCAAACTGCAGGAGGCAGTGGAAGATAGGAGTGCCTGGCGTGCTCTGGTCCAGGGGGTCACGAAGAGTCGGACACGACTAAATGACTAAACAACAACAACAACAAAATCCATCCATTTGGGTTCCCCTCAGTTTCTCATTTTTCCAGGACTAATCTATACCGGTCAATTTAAACTTAAGCGTTATAAATGTGTTATAAGCATGATGTGACACCAGGGAGTGCTGTAGAGCGATGTAAAATCGTCAGTGTAAAATTGCATTGAAAGCTATATAACGCTTTTTTAAAGCATTTAAACCATCAGTATAGATACAGCCCCAGTCTTCAGTTCAATTCTCCACATTAGCTGGAGGGAGACAGAGCTCCCTCCCTCCTTTCTCCCCACAGCATGAAGCCAAGTGGACTGTGGTCAGAGAAGAGAAGCTCCCTCCTCCAAGCCCAGCATAGTGAACATTTTTATGGACCAGTGAAAAAAAGGACTGCAGGGAGGCAGCCATGGCTGGATCACCAGCTCCTTGCGGGAAAGCCACTTCTGCCCTTCAAAGGAGGTGGAGTTGCGTGCTTCATGGCCCCACTACACGCGTAGCGGCTGGAGCCCAGCCCTGCATGTTTGAGGGGATTCCCAGCCGCGTCATCCCCTGGCCGGCCAATCGGCTGGCTCTGGGTGCATGGCCTGCCCTAAGGCAGGCACGGCTGGGGATCGCCCTCTTTTGCCGCCTACCAGCTGTTCCTGTTTCCCACCCTCCCACCCTATAAGGTTTTCATTCCTTGACCTTGCTATGGACCTTGGTTGGTCGCCACTGAGGGGTCTGGTAGGAATTTTTCCACTTGGCAAACTGGCACCAGCCACTTGGTTTTCACCTACCTCGTAGCAAATCATCACAACTTTCCTGGTATTGGCGGTTACGCATTGGTATAGTTCTGTAGATGGAAGAGGGGAGGTAGTGCCATCACCTGCCCCGCATATTGAAGGGTGGTCCGATAAAGGATTCCAGGGGGGGAGTGGCCCTGTCCGAAGCCTATGGAGGTGAGGGCCTAAGGCACGCCCCCTATCGGTGACCCCGGGGGAGTTCCTAGTTGATGTGCATCAGCAGGACTCCCCCTACTGGTGGTTAACCCTTCCCGGACTTCAAGCGGACGGGCTGAAGTTGGATATAGTCGGTTAGGACCAATGCCTAAGCCAATACCGCTAATCCACCTGTAACCAGTAAAGTTGTGGCCTTATTTAGCCCATTAACCTTAATAATTGTGTCATGGGTCATTATTTCCACTGGGGGGGCGGGGGACTCACCACGCAATGATGGAATAAAAATATATTAAGGACGTAAGAAGATCCTGCTGGGTCAGGCCAACAGCCCATGCAACATCCCATTCTCCCAGTGGCCAGCCTGTGGGAAACCCACAAGGAGAA